AATAATAATAATAATAATAATAAGCCCGCAGGGCACCTTGAGGCGAGGTGACGGGCATTAGCGATCCCGCGGGCTACCATCATCCCGAGTGCTCCAGGGAGAAGTCACCGTTCCTTCTTCTCCGGCTTGCCTTAATTGGCTGGCTGGAGTGAACGATGACAAGGAACAGGTCTCCCACCTCTGGCTTGCCTTCATTGGCCGTCCAGAGTGGAGTCGCGAGAGCAGTGATCCTGCTCGGAGGGTAAGAAACTATTCGTAAGTCGCGAGTGGGCCAGGGATGCAGGAGGCTTCGGCTGGAGCAGATGATCTGAGTAGAAAGCGGTGGTAGTTTCTTAACCCTTCAGCCACTCACATTCTCGTTGCCCCTTTGTTGCTATATCTAGCAACCATTCCCGGGGCCCGGTCGGTGAGTTGGCGAGTCTCCGCCTGCCATTTTTACGTGTAATAATTACATTGTTTCGGCAGGTGCCATAGTCATCCATAGTTCCCAATTTCCCAGTCCACAGCAACCCATCCATAGCCCTACCTTTTTTTTCCATTATCCACAATAGTTTTACACAAACCGGGGGCTGTCCTTGGGTGCATTTCCATAGTGCATACAGGGATAGTCGCCGGTTTGTGTGTCCACTACATTTATATTAAAGTTGTCTAAAGGGCCTCTGCGCAGTTGGCTTCGGCCCCTCGTACGCCTCCCAAATGACCGGGACCCTGTGGTCCCGTGAATGGTAAAGTTATAAATAATGTTTAATTCTGTCAAAATCTCAAACTGCCATAACTCAGTGATAAAATACTATAGCTATAGAGAGTAAATGCAAAGTGGTATGAAGAGAATAACATTTGTAGTATACATACTTATCAACAAAGTTTAAAAACAAACGAATTTTTTGCCAAGAATGATATAATTTCAGGAATTTATCAATAGATTACACAAAATCAAAACGTGATAGACGCCATGTACTTTCATTGAGAGTACCTAAGGCCGTCTTGATTAGTTTTATCAAAAAAAATATATTATTTTATCTGTTACAAAATACTTGTCGACCAGTGTTATGGTTATTTGCAAAAAAACATATAAAACTCTCCGATCTCTCAAGATCTCCAATGAGCCCCAATCTCGAAAGATTTGCATTGCCCAGTGCCTTGTATTAGAATAACAATAATATGACAATTCATTAATATATTCGTTTATGTACTAGTGCGCATTCTGGTCTTATCAAAACTTGTCCAAGTATTGAATTATTTCATAAGTTGAGCGGTGATTGTGTACGCGTATAATGACTGGAATCATGGCATGTCTTCGCATGTCGGTTTGTTAAATAAACATAACCCCTGGGATGTACTGTGACAAAAGTTCTCATTAGAACAGTAGAACTACTTGCTCTGCAGCGTCTTATCAGAAGTGACGGATGTCGATTTAAATATTATAGAGATAACAACAGTATCAGGTCTATTCGGAGGTGTCTGCTTCCATGTTTCTCAACTGGAGTTTACACAACGTGCTGTGATTTGGTGTGATACACTAGTACCTAGCAACATACGTAAGTATGTGTACGTTGTACAACTGGAGAATTAACTAAAACCTGACAGTGTGTGCCCTACACAACAACAAATTGTAGCCGTATGAATTTTCAATGATTCACTCAATCAGTTCGTCAACAATATCCGAAAAGTAGGTATTAATTTATTAGTAATAGTTTAGTAGTATAGATATATTCAGGATTTTTTTATAGCATAAGCCGGTAAACGAGCAGACGGATCACCTGATAGCAAGCTATCGGCGCAGCCCATGGACACCCGAAACACCAACCAAGGCGTTACAAGTGCGTTACCGGCCTTTTGGGAAATGGGAATTTGAGGATTGTGGAGGACTCGGGGATTCGGGAGACTAGGGATAATTGGGCCTCCGGTAACCTCACTCACACCACTAAACACAACGCAAGCGTTGTTTCACGTCGGTTTTCTGTGAGGCCGTGGTATTACTCTGGTCGAGCCGGCTCATTCGTGCCGAAGCATGGCTCTCCAACACTTTTAATATCCTAAGTATATCAAATTTTACTTTAAAATACCATTTAAGCAAGTAATGATGATCAAAGTATAATTTAATAAAATAGTAAAGTAAACGACGAAGTTACTTTAAACAAACTGTCTTCACGACCATCCAAATGGATAGCTTAATACTCTGTTTAATGTAAACCAAATGAAATTGTATAAGAACCAGCAAACGGGTTAATTAAAACCAATATCATTAACATGTAGCCCGGTCCGGGCGGCATGCGGCACTATAAACGTCAACCGGCACCGAACTTGGAACCTTTATTGAAATTAGGAGAGAAATACACATGTCTCTAGACCACACACTATGCAGTATGACATGTCGCCTGTACGGCGTCGCAGGGGAACGGTCCCCGCTGTGAGACTACGACACCCCACTGAACACTACGACACCACTTTCAGTGATTTCTAATCCCCTTACAACCTACACCATTGTTATATCACTACGTAATTAGGTATACAACCACTATACTCTGATCGAACTATTACCCCCCCACTAATTAAACTGTCAAATACCAAGCGGTCACCGGTGACCGCAACCTATTGTTCTATAATTGTGTCTGCAAAACCGGTACTCGACGAGTTAATATGCTGAATGGCTTAACATAATGGTCATAGAGATTGAATAAAACAGAGATAGAAACCAATGTAGACTTTTCAAAATTCTACCAAACACGCGACTAGTTCCTGGCCAAACGCTATCTAATTTAATTACAAGAATCCTTAGATTACTCGTTCCAATTCGGCACGAGAGAGGGTATGTCTTTTGCTGATTGATACAGGGATGCTGAATGTTAGAGATATAATTAAAAATATAAAATGTATTGAGTCCACGACTTTAACGAACGATAAAACAGGTGTCGCTAAGAAGCGGTCGCGTTAAATATATTTATTGCTTTGGTATAGATAATAGTTGATTAAGTGTGCATCTAGGCCAAATATTAACTCTATTTCAAAGAAATATTTTTGTATAATCCTTACGATAAAGTAAGCGCGCGTGGCGACATAATCGAGATTCAATCATTCCCACAGCACGCACTGTATCACTGAACCGTTTATTTATAATACGTTGTTAATATTTACATTAAGTCTTTATTTACATATACTTAACAACTAATCATAAAATCATTGATTTATTGTTTTATATCATTATGATGTCGCCATATATCGTACATGGAGAATATTTCAATTCCAGTACAACAGTCGTAATGGATAGATTGATTTTGAAATCATTGAACCAACCGTTGGCCGTACGTAATAAGCGTGAGAACTTGAGTTGATAATAGTTTGGCCATTTTAGGAGAAACAGGAAGAATCATTCTTCTTCTAATAAATGAGCATTGTCAAAGTCCACGTAGAAGGCACATTGGTATAACGACATCTGCGATGTTCTTTCGCCGAGGCACAAAGTAATACATGTAGGACTCACTTGGCATAGTCCTGCTTGCAGTAAACCTGTCGGTCGCGCAGGAAGCAGGAGGGGTGGCGGTCGAGCTGCACTGCGCAGACGCAGCAGCGCAGGCAGCCGGTGTGCCACGCGCCGCCGCCCACCTCCAGCAGGAAGCGGTCCGCGATCGGCTCGCCGCACGCGCAGCACGTGCGGTGCTCCGTCTGTAACATTGCCACACATCATCATATCAGTTACAAGATGGCTGCTGCTAAACACACTCCTCCGCCAATGACTTCCAGCAGGTAGGTTGGAAGTACATACAATACTACACAACTAATCAGTCGTGCGGTCACTGTTATATGTGATTATACCTATGCTATCTTTCTAAAAACTGCAGCCGTTTATTAAAATTGAAAATTTTTCATAAAATGTGAATTGTGGACTTTTTAAAGGGCAAGAGAATCTGAAAATATTTATCGTCGATTCTGTACTGGACAATTCAAGCACTGATTGCGTGAACTTGCGAGATAATGATAATTGATAATTATAGAAGTGCTTTGATAAGTTTGAAGTTGAAACTAGTGCCGAGGCACTGCCCTCCCTGCTGCCTGCCTGCAATCTATAATTGCGTTAACCAATAACTACACTTACCACCGTGTTGTTGTGAAAACACAATTTTGAAAGCAAATAACTAAACAAATTATGATAATGATATTGCGTAACAGATTTAAATCTCCCTTCGCGGGTTTAACGAGTAGACAATAGCCGTGACTGCAATAACAATGCAGTACTGCTGCCAGTGCCACCCCGCGCAGCGCGCCATGTGCGCCGCACAGCCGGGGCGGGGCGCCACCGTCGCATGTAATCTAATGTTCTCCTGTCACCATCGCGCCTTAACTTCGTTTAGATGTGTTCAGATCGGATCTTTTCAGATATGCTTCCATAACCTGCTGATAGCCAGCAATGAGTAACAACGTCTAGCCTAGGTCCCTTAACTTACTAAGGTTGGTTCCTATTTAAGTATTTTAAATAAATAATACAGTAGGTAATAACTATCGTGAGACATACTAAATTAAATAAAATCGCGGGTTACGCAAGTAGCAACACCGAAGCGAGAGCCAACTCCAGCCAGTAAGCTGCGCGACGTCAAAAGAACCCCTCTGTGGTTCGAAACTAGTAGAGTTTTTCTCAGTATATTCACGTAATGACGTGAGTAATTTAAATAATACTGTAATTTATGTTTAGATTGAATAAATTAAAAATAGATACCCTTAACCGGCGAGCATGCATGAAAAGATTGATGATAGTTGATGAAGCGAAAGAGGTAATGTAGGAATCGTAGTAATTGGTGTTCCCTAGTGTCTGCCTACCCCCAAGGGGGACAGGCGTGAAGTTATGTATGTAGTTGCATGTCTACATCAACGACGTTGAAAAAAGGTGGACGTAGTCTCTTGAAACAACGACTGTGGTACCTAGCTACTATACACTTACACGCAGAATACACACACATAGACACGAAGACCATCTGTCGCGTGACATGGCCCGTCATTACACTTCATACATTACGGTGTTGCAAGTACACGCACACATAAATACACCACTGACATTTTGGTGCTTCAATCATTTGCAAGTGACATAACGTCCGCCTTTGTTTCACCGTCCTTCGTCTACATAATGTGCATTTGTTTTTATATATTTTTAAGGGGGATAATCAAATGACTTCTACCGCCGTGGTGAGGCGGGAGGGAGTGTCAAACTATTACTGAGTAAAAACCACCCCGTTCCTACTGCCGAAGCCGGAGCCCCGGTAACCCGTTAAGTTCTCCGCGGCTTACATAATGTGCATGCAAATCTGAACGTAAATATGAATAGCATTACGATCAAAAATGTATCTAATTTTAACAATAGGAACATTGTAAAGCCACGAATTTCTAGCGGCAAGAATACTGTTTCCTTCGTATCACTTACTGTTTATTTACTTAATTTAAACTTTATATTATAAGAGGTTCACTAACATATTTAAGGTGTTACAGTTCGCCTATTTATTAATGAAAATCAATGATGGCACCACTGCTCGTAGTACCAACCAAATAAATACTTATTTTAGACATAAAATCGTTTGATTTGAAGGGTTTTACTTCTGGCTGATAAAATAAAAACAGTTACAATTCCTACCACATAGCCACAGTTTGAGCGAAAATATAATCTTAATTCGATAAAACTTGTCCGGCTTCTGGCTCTATTGAAAATCACTTTATACTCAAAATACAATCAGTCGACCTCCACTCGGAATTGTTCTTTTACATGTTTAGTTTTATTCACTTAAATTCCAATCTCATACCTTTATAAGAAAAACTATTGTGAGATGACATTCAACGTACTTTCATTGAGTGTTGTTAGTTCCTCAAACATTCGTCGTCATTCTTAGATTGACATGATAGACAAACTATATGTGTTATGGAATAGATTTCAGGCAACGAGCAGACTACAGATCACCTTATCATAAACTATCGGCGCCGCCCATAGTCCACATGCGCAATACCAGTGGACCTACTCATAAAATCAACGTAATTCTTATGTAGGTACTTACTTCCTTAATTTATATAATTAAAACATTACAAACGAGTTTACGACATTATGAATTGCCAAAACAATGTGTCTCTCTCCACAATCAAAGACGATAACAAAATACCATTTGCAGCACATTATAGGTAAAGTAATTCGCAATATAATCCTTGCTAAAACAATCACTATCACAATAAATTATGTACCTTTATCTATATGTCACGATCAACACAGAAATAACAAACAATCATATAGTCCCATACTATATAGAAGTAATAACGGAGCGGATTGACTGCGACGTTCCCCATCCAAGGGAACAGTACTGCAATAGTGTTCATATCAAAATAAACAGCTCATTACATGTAACATAAATCTGTCCCGGAGTGAAGGGCACTCGACTTTACAACAGTGTTACATCGACACCCCTGCGGCTCCGGCTGCAGCCGGCGCGCGGCCACCGCAACAATGCGCCGGCGACATCGGTGTTTAGCACGCAGTGGCACCGCACATATGTAAGCGGTATACAGCTCCCGGCCCTCGCGGTTCCCGTCACTAACAATAGCTTGCCACCTATCAAAATCTTCGTAACAAATTTCTTGGGGGTTCCATTGACGCCAGCGTATAATAGATCCCCGGTGGCCGCATTGTCGCCGCATTCACTTCAGCTGACTGATATCCACTTTTTATGACAGTTTTTGTGACAACCCAAGGCGAGCGAGCTACTCTTGTATAATGACGTTGTTTGATTGCATTTAACGCGTCATTTACGAGGGTCTGTTAGCTCTACCTCTCACCTCTCGCTTGAAATTATGTAAATGAGATGTTCTGCATTGTCGCCGGGATCCAGCGACAGGGATGTTGCATGGTGGAAGATTAGTCGCTCCAGTAAATTGTTTCTGTCACGCAGAATGACACACGATGTAACCGACACTGATATTCGAGGAACATTGACAAAGGGTCAACAACGGTTATGGCAAACAAAGCGGACTCATACGTAGTTCATGAATTGAATAGCGTTTGACAGCATGAGAAGCGACGCAAACACGCATTGTGCGATAATTTGGCGGGCGCGAGCAGCGAGCAGCGGGGCGTGATGTAGCCGTCGGACACTTGAACCATTCAGATGCTGACATTCTACTGCGATGACAACCTTTTGATTATAGTTCTGAATAATCACAGCAAATATGAAATACCTAAGTATTTTGCCCATTATAGAGAATGGTTTATTCCTAAATCATCATTCTCATCCACCCCGTCACATTGTTTTACGTGTTTTCAGAAGTGGGAAACCATTGTCTACTATTACGTTATATTATAAGTTATTTGACTTCGTTGACAGGTAGGAATAGGAAGTGTTTTAATCCAATAAACTTTTAATTGTGAAAAAAATCTGTTCGAGTACTTTTTGTACACAATAGGTTATTACACGATCATCCGTATTTATTCAAGTTCATCCAAATAGCTGCAACAATGGAGCCAAATGTACGGACACTGTGAGTATAATAGTAACCACAATAGTGACTTTATAATCCACAAATAAAACATAATGCGAAGGTGCGCGGCTGACGGGCGTGACAGACCCGGCACCCAAACTGCCCTGCTATTGTCCCGCTTCCGACTATTATCCGGGAATGAGAGGCCTAAAGGTGGCTTGACGGCGCCTGCCTACGCCATTGTTACAGGCTTACGTTTGCAAATCCGATTTATATTTGAATATAATTGACTTTCGGCCTCGTATCAGGTACCGAGAGCGTGTATCTTATTGTGTTTGGCTGATCTCAATGGCATTTTTATCAGCTGAACATGATAAATGTATTTGGAAGATTAAGTGTTGTGGGTGGGTGCGTTCGAGCAGCTCGGCACTTCATGGCGCATTGGGCGCGCTCAGCCATACACATGTAATGAGTTTTTGACAAGCGAGCTTTGCACTGGCGAATAATGTCACTTCCAACAGCAAGCAGGTAAATATTTGCGTTGTATTTCGAGATTCCTTCACAATGTGTGACAAACAGGCTACAAACCCCTCGGCGTACTTTACATAACAGAGCCCAATCTTAGATCGCCCGTTACATTGAAATTCCACCGTCACCTCATTTCATATTCAAAAAGAAAACCGTTTCCGGCTGGCAGCACAAATCACGCGGAAATTGAACGCAATTTATTCAAAATATTTGTAGCAACAACCCTTCGCCCGACGCGGGACGCGGGACGCGGGACGCGACACGACGCGACGCGAGGGATGTTTGCCATAGAAAGATACTCTTGTTATTGTTTTCGGTTCACGCATCGTGAAGGATTCCGATTTCCTTACACTTATTTCATCGATCATCGAGAGTCAAAGCTCAAAAGTGTGTTCAAAAACCAACTGGCGAACAAAAAAATCATTGAAAATAAATTATGTGTGCACGTCAGCGATACGAGAGGTATCTCGGAGATATCTGGTGGGCGCACAAAGCGTCGGCAAGAATGGCGCAGCAGGGGCCGCCGCCCATAATGGACAGACTTTCACACCATTCACGTACACATCGCCCTCGAGTTTTTTGCTCAGTGCCGGGGGTCACAAGGACCATCCGTCTTGCCAGACAGCACCAGGAGTACGGGTAGGCAATTGTAATGTTCACGCTCGTGCGTCAACCGATATGGTGGTTTTGTAAAT